ATTTTATTTTATTTTGGTAYCTCCATCTCTGGAACAYATCTACAAATACCTCCCAAACCGTCCCTCCCTGGGTGTTTTTAGCTGTGCTTTTCTCCACTGGATGGTTCATTTTTAAACACCCAGCTGTCCCCTCGCAATCCTTTCATCCTCCAGCTTCAAACTATAGTTATTTAAATCACCCAAAAGAGAACTAGATCGGGTTATTTTTGGAAAACCCCTTTGAGCAGGAAAGGCAAAGCCTCTGCTCTTCAGCCACATGAGCTGTTTTATTTAACTCCAGACATGGTTTTGAATTTAAGCTCTGAAGGGAAGAGTCACTGCAGGGTGGGCTCCCACCATGAGCTCCTGCCAGACATTCCCAGGAAAATGTAAAAAAAAAAATTAACGCAATTCCTCTCTAAAGAAAGCAGCACCCTGAGATTCACAGACCCTGCTGGGCCACTTCAGTGCTCCACAGAATTCCCAACAGTGGAAATAAAGACATTGTGAAAGGTGGAGGATGTTATCGGGATGAGCAGAGATATTAAGAGGACATTTTTTCTTGTCCACTGTTTTGAACACTTTCTGCACAAGCACGAAGACAGATGATATTTCTGTCTAGAGCAACTGCCTTTAATTTCAGCCATTGCTCTCATTTTGAGGAGCAGCTGATTTTGGTGAATGACACCGCACACGGCACAATGTCCTTCCCTCGGTGCTGCGGCCTGGGATCAGAGATGGAGAGTGAGACAGGACTGAGACTGTGACACACTGAGAGAGACAGTGTCACCTGAGAGAGACAGTGACACACCTGAGACTGTCACACCTGAGACCGTGTCACACCTGAGAGAGTGACACCTGAGAGAGACTGTCACACCTGAGACTGTGTCACACTGAGAGTGACTGTGTCACACCTGAGACTGTCACACCTAAGAGAGTGACACCTGAGAGAGTGTCACACCTGAGAGAGATTGTGTCACACTGAGAGTGTGTCACACCTGAGACTGTCACACCTGAGAGAGTGACACGTGAGAGAGACTGTCACACCTGAGACTGTCACACTTGAGAGACTGTTTCACACCTGAGAGTGACTGTGTCACACCTGAGACTGTGTCACACTGAGAGAATGACTGTGACACCTGACAGACTGTGACACACCTGAGAGAGACAGTGTCACCTGAGACTGTGTCACACCTGAGCCCTGTGTCACCACACCAGAGCCCCACGTCACATCAGATCCCCATGTCACACCAGAACCCAGTTTYTTTTAAACAAGGAACATTTTTTAAACAAGGATCAGCT